CCCCGGGAGGGGCCCAAAACGGGCAGGCGGGGGGCAGGGACGGACCCGGGTGGGGGCGGCAGCCCGACGGCGGCGGGGGGACGAGCCTCGGCCGGGTGTACGGTTCCCCGAAAAGTGTGTAAAATTCAACGTAGGATGTTAAAGTCCTTACCACGGGTAGACTCTCGCCTTTTAAGTTTTAATAGCGTTTGTTCGTATTTATTTTCTGTAATTAGAGTAAAGCATTTTTCCCAACGGGGGTTCCACTTAGGCTGATGAATTTTATTTCTCTTTCCATTAATGACCCATGTTTATCATACTTCTAATTATTTTTAACTTTAAACAATATTCGGTCTCCTGGAGACGCCTCTGTGCTGCTTCCTAACGTCAACTTTCTTTTTCCATGGCCAAAAAGCCCGCCGCGGTGAAGTTCCGAGGTATATTCAGGTCATATTTTTGATGAGCAATCTGATTTTATATTTACTCAGCCCCCTTTGCTCCCGAAGATGCTGATTAGCAACTCGCGAAGCAGGCTCGAAACCCTTCAAACGTTTGCATCGGTACCTTGTGCTGGCAAAACCTGGTAAACAAAACGCCTGTGAACGGTGTAAATCTTGATTTTACACTCACAACATTTACACATTCATAAAAGATGAGGTTTCCAGCCCCGTTTTTTTCCTCTCTCCAGCAACCTGGATGGGGAGCTTTCCTCGAGGTGCTCTTGCTCAAGAGCAAGGTGCTGCGGAGAAGCAAATTCAAATTATTTAATTTGATATGCTCCGTGCAACTCCTTCACATCTCCTTCGACAAAAGCAGACGCCAGAATACGGGGCGAAAAAAATCAGGCAAACATATTTAATCTTTAGGCAGACAATACAGGAAACTAGGAGGTCAAATTTTGGTGTCCCCCAAAAATGCACATGTGTAACTCTTTGATTGAGCAGCATAAATTATTGGGCAGCCACATCGGCTGCAAAAATAAAATAGAAGAGGGGGAAAAAAATCAAACCGGGGGAAAAAAAAAAAAAAAGAAGCAATATAATACAAAATTGCATTGGTCTTTAATTTCATCACCTATAAATGAGAAAATATTGGCTCCCATACTAAAGTTTTATTCTTTGCTTATAAATATTATGTGGAATTTTCGTTGGATATCATAAAACTGAACGATTTCTATCAAACTGTTTTAAAAAGACCTATGCAGATAACACAAATAGAGGCAATAAAGTCGCAAATAGCTTTCCAGGGGAACCAAATGGCGTCTGAAGCCTACGAAAGCTTTTACTGGGCTGGGAAGGGGGCACACGAAATGGGATTATGCACTTTTAGGCTTTTTCGGCCTAAGATATTGAAACTTGTCCCGCTTGATGCGGAGAGAAGACCCGCAAGGCTCTTGAAAGTTAAGTCGAGGGGGATTTTACAGCCCTGCTTTTGAAAATCTTTGGGAAAACAGGTTTGCAGACGTGAGAATATTTAAGCAGGACTTTGCTCTAAACCGTTACAAATCACCCCAAACGGTCAAGTTCCACTTTCTCCGCTCCAATGTACTTCTTTTTTTTTTTTCCACGATTTTGCTCCCTTTTGCTTCCCCCCCTTTCTCTTTTTTCCTCTTCTTTTCCTTTTTTTCCCCCCTTTTTACATCCCCGCTCTTTTTTTTTTTTTTTTTTAATGAAAGGTGGCGTTTTCTTTTTGTTTCCCTTGAAAGTGACTCTGAACCCGTCTCTTTCTAATCGTAATGATCTTGAAATTCCGGGCTCCCTCCCTTTTTATTTATTTATTCGCCATTGCCCTAACCCGCCGCTTCACCTAAAATCAGAGTTCAGCCACCAGCACCGCAACACGCCGGGGAAAATGATGAAAAAACCCCTATAGAGCTTCATTACTACGCGATTTAGAAAATAATAAAGAAAATAAAGTTGGGGGGGAGGGCACGATAACCACCAAGGTTTAAATTCCGTCGTATTTAAGGCAGCAAATCTTGCTCGGAGATGTAAAATTTCAAAGAAAAGAACAACTTGAGCTGCCATCGCAGCGAATTGCGCCACGAAAGAGGAGCGAGGCAATATTGGAGAGAAAAGTAACTTTCCTCGGGCAATCCCGCCAAGAAAAAAAATGAAAATAAAATCAAATCCCACCAAATCGGGAAAGTTTCAGTTTGCGAAGCCTTCTGTGTGATATTTAGTGAGTCCCAGGTTGGATATATTTTTTTTTTCTTCCCCAATAGATGTTTCCCGGAGAGAAAGAGGGAGCAGACGGAGAGACGGACAGACAGACAGGAGGGGAGAAACGCCACCGCACCACCGCCCTGCTGCCGTTCACCGTCTGAATGTCGCTCCCTTTTCACAAATTCGACCCCTTTTTTTCCTCTCCACGAGGAATTTTTCCCCCTCCCCGCACACCACCACACATGCCATTTTAGCCCAGCAACTTAAGACAGTTCGGGAATGAAAGTGGATAATTAAAAAAAGCTGTCTTCGCAGAGTCAGGGAAGGCGAAGCCGCTTTGCTGCGGGGGGGAAAAAAAAAAAAAAGGAAAATAAAGCAAAACTGGGTTTTCATCGTCTTTTTCTTCGTTACAAAAGCTGCTGGGGAAATATCCGACCTGCTCGAAGGAGCTTCGGGGTTTCGGGGAGATGCTGCCTGAAGGGGCTCTGAATTATTCCCCAAATTTGCCCCCCTTCCCTTCCCCAGCTCTCCCGCAGCAGCAAAAGCAAAGCGGCGCCGAGCGCATCGCCCCACCGCACCCCCAAACCCCATCCAACCCCCCCAAAACCCCCAAATAATTTAAATAAGCATAAAAATAACGCCAAGCAGCAGCCCCGCAGCAGGCGGCTGAGCCCGGGGGAGCTCGGCCACGGCCACCCTCGCC